CATGACGACATCATGTACTTCGTAGCATATCACGCGCCCGACTCCTCGAAGCGACATCCACGGGAACCTACGCCATATTCATCGATATTGCTGAGACAATCCCGGACGCGAGTATGTCTTCCGCTGAGCTCGTCATTCGCGATGTCACGCCGACCATTACGACCTTCTCGACGCCGTTCAACCGCTTCGCGCCATTCGGCTACCGCAAGTTCGTCGCTGTAGGCAATCGTGCCACGGCCATCCGATTGCACGACAACCGAATCCTTCTCCTCAACCCCATCCAGCTCGAACAAGCGGTGCGCGACAAGCTGAATGAACTTGGAGGCGTCGATCTCGTCGCGTGTGATCTGGGGCATCACTTGTATGTGAAGGATTATATCGATGCGTGGCCGAAAGCAAAGACAATCGGCGTTCCAGGTCTGGATAGCAAGAGGAAAGACGTGGAGTGGGACTACATTTACGAGGACTGGCGGACAAGTCCGGAAGACCAATTCGACTTTGCGCGGGATATCGAGACCGTGCTGTTCGAGGGTTTCATCACATACTGTGTCGCTTGGTATCACAAGCCGACGAAGACGCTGATACAGTCTGACCTGATGATGAACCTACCATGCACCGAGGTATGTTGCGAGATCACTGGGCGCGTACGCGACATCATTCGCTGACCTTCTTTCAGCAATATCATCCTAGCTCGTCGCACCAAGGCCCCCTTTCGCGCGAATTCGCAAACCGTGCACATCCTCGATCGATATGGGCGAAGCGCCTCGTTTATCACATTGCGACTGTCGATTACACCCTGATGCGACGCGATGCGAAGAAAGTGGCGGAATGGCAGATCGAGCGGATTATACCCTGTCATGGAGATGTCCTCGATACTGGCGGCAATGAAGCCTGGGCAATGGTATACGATTGGTTCTTGACTGGCGAACCCACGCCAGGCCTGATGAAGAGACTTATGAGCCCCATTATGAGGGTCGCCAGAAGGGTGTTCTTGATGTAAAGCCCAGACATATGCACTTAGCCTCTTGGTATGTGATCTGATTGACACAAGTACCAACGCTGCGGCAATGGAGTGTCTATTGTCTACTGCCTGGGTTCGTGTTGCCCCAACATGACCCTCCACCGAACACATGTAGCTGGTCGCGACGTTCTCATATCGTTGTGACGCCTTTGGATACGGCAAACGCATGCATTGGAAAGCCACTGAACTGACAGCTGAGCAGATATAGCAACCTGGAGCCGTCGAGCCAGCTTCGTTCATCGAGTCACGTTGACATGTCCGATTGGGACCGATGAGTAAGGAACCGGATGGTGAAAGCTCGTGTCTGTTGCACAAAGTGAAGAAAGCAGCAGTGCTACAATGCTGGCTCTGTGAGGCTTTTCACCAGTGGCCAACAGAGGTCAGCCCTGGCACTGCTGTCGTATATTAATCTTCCGACTTGGGTCTCGAGAGAACGCGGCCACTTCTCTACACACCCTCGACAAGAACCTCAACCAGAATTCCATCACTCCGGCATGGCCCAACTACAGGCAATGTGCGTTTTCTATCCCCGCAACTGATTCTCACTAGCTAACGAGTGTGCAGTACTGAACGCAACCGCACAACGTCACCCTTGCTTAAACTCCCCGGAGAGATACGTAACAGGATCTACGACTTTACTCTGGGTGGCAATACATGGCATGTCGATACGCGTCGTAAATTGACCTGCAAAACTCCGAAAGCTGAGCGCAACGATCACCGAGCTCTGCTTCGTGTCTGTCGACAAATATATAACGAAGCCCGTCTCTTACCATGGTCACTCAGTGACTTCCGATGTGAGACAAAAGATGATCTTCGCAATTGGCTCACCAACTTTCCGAGGGAATGTCGCTGGGCCATCACGACTATCACCCTGTTTGCCTCTTCTGCCGATCGTCCAAATCCTTCGCACCCACGCCCAACGATGTCACTGCTTTTACCAAGAGGGATGATCGGCTTCCAAGACTTTCCTGGTCTTAAGAAACTTGATAGACATTTCGGAGTCTGTCCAGAAAGAGACTACCGTTTTTATACGCAGCTAGGCGATGGGACCAAAAGCCAATCTACCGAGCAGAAGGTACGAGTGGTAATCGCTCAGCCGTATACACCAGAAGAAGAACGTCAGCGACAAGGTTTTTCGTTCGTGGCCTCTACATAGCTGTAGAATAGCGTGCGGTATCCAGGGTATTGTATCATATCCTTTTCCCCAGACCCACAAGTTCATGTACACTGCGGGCACACCTGGATATCACAGTCAAATTGGGACGAGCATAGGCTTTGTGATGTATTTTGATTACTTTTTCAACATTCAGATCATGAACACCTACGCAATAGGCGCGTAGAAGCTGAACTTCCCCTTGGGGTCATACTTCTTCTTGAGCGATTTCAGCTTCTTCTGCCTCCAGCTCTCATGACCATACCAAGCCTCTGGCCCCTCATCACCATACGCATAGTTTACATAGGTGTGTAGTTCGCTAGACCCGGTACCCTCACGAATGATCTCGCGAAGCTGCGTGCCGAGTTCTTTGACGGCTTCGTCTTGCGCCTGTCCAGTCGAATTGTATATGATAAGAGGCGCAGCGAGGGTGTGCGCGTCGCGGAAGCCAAACGCACTAGCATCGTTGCTACGGTCGCGAATAGCACCACTGGCGTAATCCTCGAACATGAATATGGAGTTGTAGTACGGGTTGTCGGCTCCGGCGACGGCGGAGGAGTAGAGATCCCAGGCCTTGCGCTGCGCGGTGACATTGTAGGACTTGATGTAGATCGGGAAGCGGGGGTTGTTGAAGCCGAAGTCCTGGCACGGAGGTGATTCGAGCGCGATGCCGGTCCATTTTGCGAGATCTTTGTAGGTGCCGGACTGGGGTGTGGCGGCGAGAGGACCGATGTCGTGGAATGGTGCGGTGTACTTGGAATCGACGGTGGTAACACCCTCTTGGACGATGTAGATGATGATCACCGGCTGAGGAACGGTTAGCGAATGTAGTTCATTCGAGAACCGTCGTATATCTTACCCCTTCGGTATCGTATCTTGCATCATTCTGCCAGTACGTCCAGTCATGTATATCCGCAGACTGCTTTCCACCTTGAAGGATGTACTTGTTGGCGGCTTCATAGACCTGCTCGACTTTGTCGCCACTGAAGACAATCGTCTCGATTGCCCAGTCGTAGTGCTCGATGTCGTACACCTTTGTGGTGACGGATGTAACGACACCGAAGTTGTGGCCAGCCCCTTGCATACCCCACCACAGGTCTGATTTGCTGTCGATCGTTCTCAAGTCTCCATTTGCGAGCACGATGTTCATGGAAAGGAACTGGTCGGTGATCAGACCATAATGGCCCTGGAACCATCCGTGACCGCCACCGAGGGCCGGTCCCAAGTAGCTGACACATTCGCAGCAGCCGGTGACTAAGTAGTGTTAGAGCAGGCCGTGTCCACTGTAAAGTTGGAAAGCTTACCAGTCTGCTTCCCAGCGTCCCACAGAGTGTCTGTCAGGTTCTTCACATTGGCTCCACCACCGATAGTCGCTGACTTCCCGTCTTTGGCAATGGAGATAGAGTTCAACTGGGGCAGATAGATCTCGATACCATAGTCCATCTTGCCCAGGGTTGTAAGTGTCCCATGATGACCATTGTAGGTGAGGAACGGGATGTTGTGATCATGCGCAAACTTGACCTGTCGTGAACGTGTTAGCTGCTGCCCCTTTCGTCTACTGTAAAAGCTGTGAAGGTGATCTGCCGCCTGCGTATGAACTTACAATCTTCTGGACATCCTTCTCCGTACCTGGGGCAATTACAACGCTCGGTGTAGGAGCCTGTAGATTGGACCATCGGGTGGTGTAGGTAGCAAACTCCTTCGTATCGGGGAGGTAGATCTTTGCAGTGGCAGAAAGGTACGGTGCTAATGACTTGACGTCGATACCTACTGCGGGGGTCCTAGAGAAGAGGTCGAATGCCGAAGTAGGGGATGCCGAGACAGTCGGAACGACACAGGTAAGACACGAGCTTGCGACAGCCAACTGTGTCAGGATTCTTGCAAACATGATGCCAGCTACCGAAATCCTGGAATGTGGCTTCGAGGCATCTCAAATACGAATAGACATCTGCGCTGTCGGCTAAAAGCATCACGCTCTATGAGGAAGACCTCCGGGCCGCCATGCGGCATGCATATCGTCAGGGTCCAGAAGGCGTGAAGGCGGGACAGGTTGCATCGAAGGATTCAGTTCGGTCACACAATCGGCGCGAATCTGATCCAACGATGATCTTGTCTTCGCCGCGACTTGCGCTTGCATGTTATCGAGGTTTGTGGGTCGCAGGCATCACCGCGATTGGCTCGGGGATCGGACAAGATGCCGCGAGCCGCACCGTTGCCCTGGCCCGCCCAGACGCCAACAGCCGCTTCCTCTGCGCTAATGGAGATGCATTTTCACCCACATCCTTCCTCGCTGGAAAGCTTGCGCCCCTTGTACTTTACAGACTCATCGAAGGCATAGATGCCAACCCTCTGTCTTACCAACGACACCGCTGAATGCCGAATGCGCAATGCTGCCATCGTTGCGCGCCTTTTGCCCTGGCGATACCACGAACGTGACCATCGAAAACACTGATCACCTCCGCTATGCGAACATGCAATTGCAATATAGCAAGCCAAAAAAGAAGGCATTGCTCGTATTCGGCGTGATTCTGATCTATGGCCGGCAAGCCAAGAACTGCGCCGCTTTGTGCCTTCCTCTCTCTGCAAAGTATCGGATGGCGCACTCGGATTGGGTGCCAATGTGACTTCGGGCCGATGTGATGTGATTACACGGGGTATCTGTTGGCTGACATTCTATCGAGTTAGGCTACGCCATGAACGTCTCGGACACAGATCCAGTTCCATCCGTTTTGTTCTGGATCTGTGATTATACCGACCGACCCAGAGTTCAAGAGTGATGGATCAGACTTGAATCGATCATCCATCACCATCGTTGCAAAATACGCCATGGGAATCGTGGAGCTGTGGACCCTCTACGCACTCGCTGTCTCCTTCACGTGTCTGCGAACATACGCCAGGATTACCGCCGTGGGCCTCCGCGAGCTACAGGTAGATGACTACCTAGTTTGGATTGCCATCGTGAGTAGCAACGATTGCTTTGCTTCATACGTTTCCTTCTGCTAATGAACTGTTTACCAGCTGATTTACACCGCCCAATGCAGCCTCGGGTACAGCCTGGGAGTGCACGTACATGGTCTCGCAAATGATGGCATGACGCCGAAAGAGCGTGCTGCGCTGACGCAAGACGACCCCGAGTATAGATTGAGGTATACACGAAGCCAACTCCTGGCGCACAACGAACACAAGAGTGGCCCACGGCGCACACGTAACTAACTGGGCTTCAGAGTCATCGGATCTAAGATTCAGGTAGCTGGCTGGACCACCTCTGCCTGCCTACTTTGGTCTCTCAAGCTATGTGTAGCAGCATTCTACCTTCGTCTCACGGTGTGTATATCTATCGCAGTGGCCCTGGGAGCTTTGACTGACATGGATCACAGGCTGGCCTAGGGATGTATACGGCCCGCATTTACATCGCTTTCGTGTCTATAATCACCAGTTTCGTGATTATCATATTCACCATATATCTCTCCTGTCGACCATTCTCGCACTACTGGCAGATCAGTCCCGATCCCGGAAACTCGTGTCAAGCAGCGGTATCGAAGCGTCTAATCTGGGTTACATTCGTCTTCAACGTATCCACCGACGTGTATTTGCTACTGATACCGATTCCCATGTTAGGGAAGTCGAGATTGAGGACGTACAAGAAGATTGCCGCTATGCTCGTGCTTGGCGCTGGCATGCTCGTTATTGTGTGTGCAATACTGAAGAGCATCTATCTTATCACGGTAAGAGGCAGTAGCACAATCGCTAGGGTATGGGCTTCAACACTGACCGATCTCCAGGATCCTTTGAACAGTGCTGAGCTCACCGCCTCTTGGGGTACTCGCGAGACCTTCATCGCCATATTTACCACCAATCTGCCCATGATCTTCCCGCTGCTCAAGAACTGGCTCGCGCCCTTGCTACCCAGTACAATCGGCTCTAGCAACGCAAAAGGGCAAGAACCCCCAGGCAGTGACTTCGAAACAATTGGGGGAGGATCCGGGCCCGGTGGAAAACGGGCTAGTCGAAGGGCGCCGCACCGGGCGCGCCACACTTTCGGGGGCCTGACGCTTGATAACGAGAGTGAGGAAGACATGATCAAAGGAGATGATGTGGCCATGCATCGCATGCAGGGCAACGCTCCTGAATCAGATGGGAAGAACACGATCGTCGTGTGCAGCGAGGTCAGCGTGACGTCCAAAGATCATAGCGGTGTTCAGAGAAAAGCATCATTCCAGATCATGTAGTGAGTTATCGTCACGCTCCAGTACTGACGGAACTATACACTTCTACAACCTCATCTGACTCGGTCTTTCTATCTGTGGCGTTCGTGATGTAACTTGAGTCAGATCCCGCTGCATTGCCACTACGCGACTCCTTCTGCATGAGGCTCACACAAAGGCTATGCGCAAGGGTTTGCAAGTATGCCGTCGGCGGCTAAGGATGATATTGCGACACGGTACAGAGACGAGAGAGCCATGTTGGATGTACTTCCAGGCCAACTCCCCAGCTCGAGTTCCAAAGGGTCTATTGTAGGAGTCTGTCATCCAATGAAAATGAGCCATCCCCTTCGGTCCACAGTAGTACGGCAAGCGACTCCATGGTGGGCTCTATGATACCAAAGAATCCTTCAAAGAGGATTCTCGTGCCAGGAGATACACCCCGGTCTTCACCCAGAGTAGCAGTTGCGGCCTGCTTGTCATCCGCCCCGTAGTCGCTCGTGTTACCAGACATGTAGACTTTTGCCTTGAGTATGTCTTCTTTGTGAGTGAGGAAGTACCCGGAAAGTTGCTGGACGACGTCCGCAACTGTGACAGTACCGCCATCTTCTCTGGTAACAAGTAAGGGCTGTGGTCGCTGATAGCGACGATTTTCCTCAAACCCAGGCTCGTCGAACTCGTCATCGCTGAAGCCTGTTTCAAGAGCTGCGAACTGGTTGAGCTCGTCGATGCTGAAGGCTATCTTGGTAAGAGGGATTTCGGAAGCTGGTTTTGATGCGATAGCGTGACCGTCAAAGGGCGATAGGGCAGTCTTTGGATCATCGAGAACGAGGATGTTGGTGATGTCCTCGAAGACCGACCAGCGCAGACGCTCGAATGCTTCATTAAGACGGATGGCTCCACGGGTCTTGGTCGGGCTTCCATTGAGGTTCTCGGGCAGAGAATCGGCAGCCATGTTGAGGCCAAACGCTGTTGTATACAATCTGAAGTAGATTTTGCCAGCATACGTCGGTGGTACGGGTGCGCGACGACGACCCACTCTGCTGCAAAGCGCTATGTCCCAAATAGGCTGCTAATCGGAGACGCCAAGCATCCCGAGGTCTACTACCCCACCCTAATTTTAACCGCGTTCGTCCACGATGCGCCAAAGTGACACGAGAACAGTCAGAAGCGCCGCTTCGTTTACGCCAGAAGCCAAAACGCCTCGTCATCAAGGAAGTATGATGGAGCCTAGGTAGCATGGATACACCATTTCATTGCCAAGGTTCCGAGGTCGGACCTGTTTTCTTCGTCACAGTACCTGGTAGCGCCGTGGCCACCGCTTTCTCACATTAATGCCCCGAAATGGAAAGAAACAGCCCTTGATAGTGGACTTGATTTGGGAACATGGCCAAGCCGATGCGGACTTGTAACACTACAAGCGGTCGCTTTCTTAAAGTGACAGTCCCCGCTCAATTTTCCAAGGCTTGCATCCAGCGTCTCTCTTATCGATTCCAAGGTTTGATCCGTATTGTATCATGTATTCCCGCGATGGTTACACTTGGACGCCTACGTCTGGCTTGACAGCTGGCGTTCCCTCCATTGGCGTTATAACACCCTCCACGAACAATTCCAATACTGACGAACTTTACGATGTCATTGTCGTCGGTGCTGGCTACTGCGGCCTCACAGCCGCGCGCAACGCTGCAGTCGAAGGATTGAATGTGCTGCTACTCGAAGGTCGGGATCGCATTGGCGGCCGATCATGGTCATCGAACATCGAAGGTTATTCATTCGAAATGGGAGGCACATGGGTGCATTGGGGCCAGTCGAACACTTGGAGGGAGATCGTAAGGTATCGGATGATGAATGACGTGGAGAAGTCGTTCGACTTCTCACATAGTGTTGATCACTACGAATTGAACGTTGGTCTCAAGGCTCTACTATGAGCCATGATAAGGAGGTCCGTTCCCATTTGCCGATCTACAAAGCTGTTCACCTACTGACACAGCCAAGGATGAGCTTCTTACCTCGGCGCTAAACAAGTTCACCAACATCGATGGCGCTCATGGAAAAAATGTAATGCCTCTACCATACGATACGTTTCATGTCCCCACTGCAATCCAACTCGACGATCTCTCCGCTCAAGACCGCATCGATGAGATCGCGCCATCACTATCCCCACAGGAGCGCGCAGCCATCGAATCTTTTATCTTATTATGTAGTGGAGCCACCCCTGCGACTACGAGTCTTCTGGAATTCATGCATTGGTGGGCTATATGCGGCTATTCCTACGCAGGCTGCATGGACATGCTGATCACCTGGAAGTTCAAAGGCGGACAATCAAGCTTCGCAATCGAATTCTTCGAGGAAGCGCTCCTGACCAAGCGTCTCGCGTACGCTTTCAGAAGCCCAGTCGAGCACATCAAGGACACAGGCCTCAAAGTCGAAGTCACTACACGCGATGGACGCCAGTACCACGCAGCGCGGTTAATCTCAGCTTTGCCTTTGAACGTCTTAGGCGACGTGACTTTCGATCCCGCCCTTAGTACTGGAAAAAGAAAGGCTACTGCGATAGGTCATGTCAATCAGACCGTCAAGGTCCATGCAGAGGTTTCGAACAAAGATCTCCGCTCCTGGGCAGGCGTTACATATCCGCACAACCAGCTCATGTATGCCATTGGGGATGGCACAACACCCACAGGCAACACACATATCGTCTGCTTTGGCGGCAGCAACAAACACATCAACCCTGAGGGCGACATCGACGCAACTAAGCGTGCAGTCACAAACATGTTTGTGCAACAAAAAGACGAGCCTAAGATTGAGAGACTAGTATTCCACAACTGGTCGAAAGATGAGTTCGCAAAGGGCGCGTGGTTCTTTTCATCACCTGGGTTCCTTGCAAAACACCTTGATCATATGCGTCAGAGGCATGGGAATGTGCTGTTTGCTAACTCGGATTGGGCACTTGGCTGGAGGAGCTTTATCGACGGTGCGATTGAGGAAGGCACAAGGGTTGCTTTCGAAGTGCGGAGAGAGTTGACAGAGCTCCGCGAGGCGAAGACTACCTAGGTAGACTATAATACAGCGACGCCACTATCGTGATCTGAACAAAATATGAATAAACCCAGAAATGTTATTCCACAGAGTATAACCTTTGTGATTGCTTATCTCAGAAGGTACATCGTTGCGTCATCGGTGTTCGGGCTGTGTCTTGATAGGCAGCAGGCGCAAGGGTAAGCTCAACCGCTGAGGACGGTCAAGGAGCGCAGTTTCAGTCGTTGCGCGCCCATAGCGTCGACAGTCACCCATTGTGCGAAGAGACCGACTCGAAGAGTCTGTAAAGCCATTGAAACCTGTGCTTCGGACGCTTTACACCATATCGTTCAACCGGAAAAGCGCGCGCGGGCATTAAAGACCGAGACCGCAGGACGCAGGGCGCAAGTCACGCCCTCTCGACACTGTGTATGTCTTCTCTCGAATTGGAAAGATCATTTCCGAATACCTGCACCTCCTCTTTGCGATACTTTTGTACCAAAGGTCTTGTGCTCTAGCTGTAGCGATGTGGCACCTCAAACTTCGACGACGTCATATGGTGAAAAGTGAAAGTGAAGCAGCATGTGAGCGTTTGTATCAATAAACACCCGCGCTTTGTCCGCTTTTTCGACTTCGGCTTGCACGACACCTTCTCCTACTACCTACTCTACGATCTTTATCTCTCGTTCATATACCTTCTCTACTCATCCCACCATCGTCGCAATGGCAATCGATCCCGCCACGCTTAGGCGTTATACCGGATGGTATGAAAACGACAAGACATCGGCCGAGCGCGTCGCGATTGCACTGGACGGCGCCACCATGAAGCTCCTTCGGTTCGATACCACTACTGGCGCGATTAAGACCAGTTCCACTCTGTCCTTGGACGCATCGACAATGCGCATAGGCGGCGACGCGGATATCCGAGCGCTTTGGCGTGTAGATCGCGAGTGCGTCTCGATCAGTTTCGCGATGCGCGGTGAAGAAGTTGGGAGCTTCTCTATCAAGGGGACTTCCTACTCCCGCCATGAGCCTGATAGGAAGAGTGCGCTCCTGGATCTGCCTGCTGAGCTTCGACAAGAAGTGTGGAGGTATGTTCTCGACGGGCCCGGTAGCTTGGTCATTTCGTCGCCAAAAGACGGAAAGGTCGTCATCCAAGACGTTGCTGGCGAGCGCACGCCGTACAACCGCATAGCCGAGATCCACAAGGCCTTTGGCAACGAAGCCAAATTTCTCGAGCTCTCCCTAAAACATCTTGTCGCTAAACCTAGAGAGGGTCTATATCTCGTCAACGTTCTCGAGCTTAGCGACTCGTGTCTCGACCGCAAGCTCCGCAAGGTCACATACGAGACCAATTGGGGTCCTGAGCTCCTACCTCGTCGAGAGGTCCTCCATGGCCTACTCATGTACGGCAAGAAGAACGAGCACGTAAAAATCAACATCGAGCTCAACAATTGGTACCTCAAGGATGCGAAACCATACATCATCCGGGAGAAGTTTGTTAGATTCGGTATCGGTCTGCGAAGAGCAATCCGAGGTATCAATGTAGGTACTTTTGAGGAGTCTGCCTGGATTGTACACAAGTGGAGGGGAGAGAAGAAGGTAGAGGAGTTGAATGCCTCTAATGTATCGTTCTGGCCAGCGCAAGAGGAGTTGACGGACATGGAGTGGAACAAGGTGAAGAGGGCAATCGGTGTCAAGAGCTTCAAGGGTATCATGTTAGGGTGCGGTGTAAGAGGGCCGCAGGACTTGGATGTCGTCGTTGAGCTGCTCAAGAGCTATTACCTTAATGGTACATAGCGACCAAGAACGACTTCGACTTGTAGCGACCTGGCTTGGTTTCCTCGTATAGTTGGAATATATCGTATGGCGTACCGTTGCTCGGCGAGGAGGCGGGTTTGCTGACGGCAATGAGAGCTTCTGAATCTTTGATGGAGTGGCTATCATATACGCATCTCCAAGAGAATAGCGAAGATCGACGCCTTGCGGATCTGATACGACGATGTTTCGTTTCCGCATGTGACATTTACATGCGATGCGCAGCCAACGTCGATACAATCCCAAGCTTCCATGACACGATACAAGCACACACGGTCCAGCAGCTCATCGGTATGATGTCGAAAATCCTTCCTGACGCGCGTGGCTCTCACGCCCTCGTCTGGGTGTGCTTTGTTGCTGGAGCAGCTTCGACTGATCGGAGTCAAAGGGACTTTTTCGTGCACCGTATGAAATCAATCTACGCACGTACGCAGTTTCGAAACATTCCTACTGCAATACAAGGCCTGAAAAATGTATGGGAGCGCGGGTACGGGAAGCGCTGGACCGTCTGTGTTCCTCATTTGTCGAACGTGCTAGTCATGTAAGGCATATGCATAAGCATCTATGATCTTACATGCTTCAAGTTCTTACTACGACGACGAACACACTACTGTATCTGCTGTAGGCTATCATGACTACCGGATAGCTTCAGAGCGTAGCGACTTGTACAGTTTCTATGGTCAAAACAGAACTCTCGACGACAGCTACGCGCGTGGAGAGCCGGCATGAGAACAAGTATGCGCTACGATCCGACAATCAGGCTACCAGCTCACAAAGCTCGCGCTACAAAGCAATGTCACATCCGCGCAACCATGTCAACATGACAGAACAAGGCACCGTGGACTGTGAAGGCCTGAACCACTTGCAGCTCGCGTCGTGCGCGCTCCAAAACGACATTGTGGGTCCACAGTCCGACACATCAACTCGGCGAATTGCCTGTGGTTTGTGATCTCATTCCTGTGCGTCGATTCCCACCAAGACTCCTTCCCTCCTAGATCCATCGCATATATCACCATCGGAAACATGGTGGTACTAAGTGAGGCTGGACCGGAGCAAATAGCAACGTAAGTCCCACACTCTACATGTAACGCCCCGAAGTCCTGGGCGACTAACAACTATCAGAGCCGCAATAAACCATTCCAACTCTCCTCTATTCAAGCTCCCCGGTGAGCTTAGAAACCGTATCTACGAGTACGTCCTCGATAGCGGTGTCACTTGGCACATTACCTGCCACAAAGACTATGCTTGGCGAAAAGTCTCACGTTATCACGACGATTGCAATTGTGTCCTATGTGGTGATCCGAAAGTCCGGGTTTTGGGGTCTACCCTACACCGAGTCTGTCGTCAGATACACCAAGAAACATGGTTACTCCCCTACGCGCTCAACACGTTCGAGGCGGACTATTATGGAGGCACGTCGATCGATGCTTTAGTGTGGTGGTTGCATCAACTGCCAGACCCCGCAAGATCCGCTATCCGCTCTCTCCGATTGAATGAAGGTCATTGCGGCGAGATCACGAACGATGTCCTTGAGACGAGGTTTCCGGTATGGTGGACTGCGGGACACCCGCATAGAGAGCGTCGCGTTATGCGCATGCGCGGGCCTGTAAAAGACATGCGCATGGTAGATGGCGTGGATGAGTTGTATGCGCTCTTACCGGGTCTTGAACGCATTCATCTTGTCGTTAATGTAAGCAAATTCGCGGTGAGTTGGGATAAGCCAGATGACGCGGCCATTCGGCGCGCCAAAACTATGGCCATCGCACAGCTACGTCCCGAGATCGAGAGGATGCTTGGGCAGCCGACGGTTCGCGTGAGTATGGATGTGCATGTACTTGTCGGACACGGATGTTGTTAGTGGCACATGACAATTGTCACACATTTTGCAAAGCGGTAGTGATCCTTGAGCTTTGTTTGGATACGTATGGATGGGAATGTTACCAGTCTCCAGGTATGCTTGTGAGCTACGTTGCGAAAATGAGTCATGGATGTATCGAGCAGCGGCATCGTTGGCGACGACATACCGCTGCGACGACTGCAACTGCATTGGTATTCAGACGTGAAGGCAGAAATACGAATGCACTTACGTCACCTTGTTGCCTAATCGCTCTCTACGCTATCAATAACTTATCGTGGTTGTCTCTTCAGCTACTCCCTCACTTTCCACTCCCGGACAACCTACGACACTGCAAGATGGTCGTGCTCACCGATGAATCGCCTTGGAAGCAAGCAATGTATGCGCGAAGGTCCACTAAGATACAAATTGGCATTGATACTAACAATGCATAGTGCTCTACGCAACCAACGCATGTCCCCGCTGCTCAAGCTGCCCGGCGAAATTCACAACACGATCTACGGATATGTACTCGGGAATCCACGGTGGTATGTCGGCAACTCTCAGAAGAAGCAAGATACCGAAGACAATGCCTATGTAATGTTCAACCTATACAGGGGAAAACCCTAGGCGGTTACGAGTCAAGGTCATCCTTCGGCTCGACGTTGCTGGGTGCATCGCGCCAAATACACCTCGAGGCATGGCCACTATTGTATTCATCAAGTACCTTCGTAGTCGGCACCGCCAGGTCGTTCTTCCTCCGGGTCGACTCACTGCCGGACGTTGCGCGGCTGGCTGTATCCTCAGTCAGTTTGGGTGGAATAACCCTCGATGGACGCGTTGATGGTACAACCGTGGATCTCGACGTGCCCGACTACTTATACCCCCGCACGACATTGCCCCTGCTCGACGTCCATCAGCTCACCACGTTCCAATCTTCTTGGGAATATAATATGCTTACCTTCTTGGGTGACCTGTACTGGACACTACCCGGCCTGAAACATATTCAGCTTACAGTCAAGGTGAAATTCGGCGAGTTTCAGGGGCCCACCTCTACTACGTGGCTGCGAGTTGCGGACCCAGACATTCAGGCCAAGGTGCGCTCTATAGTGGCGAATGTCTTCGCGCTTCCCAAGGTACACGTTAACTTAGACGTGCTCCTTTACAAGAAAGAGATAAGGTAACAAGAAGGGCTAGGGCGATCTATGGAGGTATGTGTGTAGCTACGCAAACAATAGTAGAGTCGCATGGTCTCATTGTCTGCCGTCGGGCTTTGAGGTGACGCAGCGCGTGCAAGGCAAGATTTCGATTAGGTGGCAACAGCGTCAAGACTACATTGTACGTTAGTCGATTCAAACACAGAATGTAGGACACATGTCGATTG